ACCCTTTCGCTCACCCTTCAAGCTACAAACTCCAAAGACACAATCAATTTCATAACTGAAAACCCACAAGCTTTCTATGCTGCATCTGCTAAAGGAAGAAAGGGGAGGGGGAAGATATATAGATAACAAGGGAGTGAAGCACGTACCCCCAAATTCACAAGTCACAACATCTGGGCTTGAGAGAAGAAGAAGAAGGCTGATCGACGGCAGTAGGAGCATCGTCCACTCCAACGCGTAGGTGCTGTGCTCGTTGTCATCGACGGCAACGATCATCACATTCACATGCTTCTCGGCTGTTTGAGAAAACCCAGAGCCTGGGTTTGCAGAGGTAAAAGAAAAGGGAAGGCAAAGGAGAGAAAATGAAAGAGGAAGAAGAATCTGACGTGGGTGAAAAAAAAAAGAACTATTATTTTTAAATTAAATGAAAGTGCCAACTCATAAAAAAAAATGCCAACTATGTTTTTTTTTTTCCATGTCATTAGTTAAGAAAAAAAAGAATTGATTTGCTGGCATTTTAACGTGCCACCTGTAATTTAACTGACGGAAGGACCATTTTGGTACCGAAAATGAAAGTTTAAGGATAATTTTGGTACTTTTTAAAGCTGAGGGACAATTTTGGCACCAAAGTGACAAGTTAAGGGACCAAAATGGTACTTAAACCTAAATTAAATTATTGTAAATTTAAAATTAAATTGATGTTTTTAGCCATTTTTACAAACATTTCGCATATGGACTTTAAAGTATTGTGTCCAAAAATTAAAATAAAGTTACGACTATACTTATCACACGTTAATATCACAGCAAAGACTACAGCACTCTATCCTTGCTGTATTCCCATCTTCTCCGACAAAACCGACCCGTAAACTGTCTAAAAATTTGCCTCCGACAAACTGTCTGAGTTCAATTTAGGGTAGTACGACAAAGATGGGTACCTCTCAATCAACCAGGCGAGATCTTTTTCATCATTCTGGTTCGCCACCCCTCCCTGTTCTCCGTCGTGTCTTCGTATATAACCTCCAGCGGAGCTTTCACATCCCATTCTACAAACGTTTCTTCGAAACTCCTGGTCAACTCATAAGAATCAAAACACTTTTTGATTTCCGAATCTTGTTCTATTTTGTATTCCATTTGTATTCTTCTTCTGAAAACTTTGTTTCCTCAGATTTACAGAAAATTTCTTTGTTTTCTGTTTGGAATTTCTAGTTTGCACTGAATTGAAGGAGAGAAAGCAATATGGATGCAGTGATCATGAACACTGGAGACACGAGGATCTTGAGGGAGAACACCGCCAATAAATTAACTCTCCATGAGCGACTTGGCGTACACCACCACTTGCTCAGTGAGTTTGACTTAAGTGACACCGACCCAGATAAACAGAGCAACAAAAACTAGGGGAGAATAGAGTCTGCAGACAGAATAGACAATTTTGAATGTGATCGTTGGAGCTTCATTGAAGAGAAGCTATTCTTGTCACAGAGGAAGATGTAGAGAATGAGCAGAGAATTTGAACTCCACTGAAATTCATGGGTTTGTAAGGGTATATAAAATTTGCGCTTTTTAGTCTTTTAAATGTATAGATTAAAATAAAAGACGATGATAGGCACACATCCGGTTTCGTCATCCCACTCCACACACTATTTTAAAATACTAATATTCAACGGTTTGGAATTAGAAGTAGAACAGTCAAAAGTCGTTGCCATTTAAACTGCATTCTTTTATTTTTATTTCCAAACAAATCGATTTTTAGTAGTTGCAAGTAGACGAACCCTAATTTTGTTCTGGATAGTTTAGCTGTCTTCCAGTTTGAATTTATTACCCTTGCCTTGACTCTAGTAAGATGTTTGTAACTTGAAATTAAACGAACAAACAAAAGGAAAGGTGAGGAAGAAAGCACATACAGGTTGCCGTAGAATTGAATCTAGTCCAATAAGAAGGTGGAGGGTTTAGTGCTGGAGTTTGGGAACGAGAAGAACGAGTAAACATTTTTAGGGATTTCTTGGAAATTAAACCAACAAACAAAAGGAAAAGATAATATAGGTGAAAGAAAGAAAAGATGGAAGGAAAAAGAAAGAGGAAGTGGTGATGGAGTATAAAACTTAGGAGCTAGGAGTGCCGGCCACGGCTTCCATCCCAGAGAACTGAAATCCTCATCCTTGGGAGGGGTGAAATACATCTTTCGACATGAATGTTCTTGCTTTCAGATTGAATTTCTTTGACATAATTATGTCATATCTCATTTTCCAAATTGGGACATAATATACCACAATCGATCCCCTCTAGCGGCAGAAATTTGCAGGTTCGGCCATTCCAAAAACATCGTCACTATGTTGGCACTTGGGTTCTATTAGCAATGCTGAAAGGTATTTTTTAAATAAAACACCATCGATATTTCAAATACATGTGTGTATATATATATACAGTAAAATGGTTTGCAGCCGGTCCTGCAAGTTTTTAGGCGGAATGACTTATTTAAACCACACCGTTTCAAGTTAAGCCCCTCACCCCAAATTTGTTTTTCTCGTCTTCAACTTTTCCCTCTTTCCAAAAATTCACAAACCCTTAATATGAGCAGAGGTATTTCCTTGACAATAGTAAATGTCATATCTAACCGTAAAAATGCTAAGATATCAAGGATATTGAGAAAATTTTCCAGCCCAAACTCAAATATAAGAGATAAATCACCAAAAGAAGCAGCTAAGAAAGGAAACAGAGGATGGAAGCTAGAGCATCGACATAACTACCGTGAATGTTGGTAAAGGATACAACCATGAAAACCCCCTGCAAATACTTCATTTTAGCATGGCAACTGCCACAAAAGTTGGACTTGATGTTGAATTTTGCCAAAAGGGAACTGCATTTCCATACATACATGTCAATCTAATGTCTTATACAGAACAGCATGAGCATTGAAGCAACTCAACTGCCAAATATGAATGATCAGAGTTTCTAAACTCTGATAACAGGCCTTATCTTATTCTGCATTTCAGGTTTACTGAAAAGTCGAAGCTAGAAGGATGGAATTGCAATTTACAACACAAAAGAAGCTAGATTTGTAAACATACTTGTATCTTCATTCCATCACCAAAAGCCATGATAAAGAATGCGTGGTCAAATAGCTTACCACTCACACTGTTAACTAAGATGAAGGTATCCATCTGCTGCTAAACCCAAAACCAAAACTGGATCCTGTGCTCCTATTGCATGCATTTCCGACTTCACCATTAAGAATGGTATAGTTTGAATTGCCAATCTTCCTAAAGTAGCAAAACTTATTGCCTTCATACCTGTACTTCTGTTGGGTACTCCCGACTCCACTGACAACCAAGTTGTTCTTAACAACCATGATGCCCTGCCCATTAGAACAATATACATATTTTGGATAAAGAGGACAAAAGACACATAAAATAAAAATATAATATTTTATTTAATTACAACATGAAATAGGAAACAAAAAGAAAAATAATATTAGAAGTCTTCATGTTTGCAAAAAAAAATTAAAGACATGAAAAAGAGAATATAATATATTGGTATAAAAAGAAACGAGGGTTTATATATAAATGGGTAAAAAAATGAGAAGGTACGAAGAAAGATTACTTAATATCCAATGCAATCTTTAATTTTTCCATTTTCAAGTATTTAAATGGTATTGCCTTTCATCTCCCAATCCCCAATCCTTTTTAATCCGTACCCATGTCTTTTTCTACATTTAAGTATTTTAAAAGCCTTAAATTTTTTGTCTCTTAACCTCTATATTCTTCTCTTTTTAAGTTTTAATTACTACTAATTAACATGCTACAAGAAAAAGGGAAATGATCTTGCCTCTTCATCTACCAAAGCATAAATTGATCTTTTCAATATTAATAATTAATAATTAACATACTATTCATCTCAATTATCTTTCATTACAATTAAAAAATTAATTAACCTTGTTTTGTTATTTGTATTATATAATTATTATATTATTTGATAAATAATTTGTATAATAAATAATAAATAAATAAATATTATATTATTATATATAAATGCATACAAAAATTAATAAACATAATTTATATCAATAAAACATTAAATTTAATAGTCAATTTTTAAAAATATTCATTAAAAATAATATTTTTTATCTTAAAATTCTTTTTTTTTTTTAATGAAATTCATAATTCATAAGGCACTTTTCCGTCCGTATTTAAGCACACTAATTATTATTATTATTATTTGAGTACTTAAATGCCTCAGCTGCTTTAGTGTGAAGAATTAGGAAGTTTTATTCTTGGGTTAGGGAAAGTCCAACAAACTGAAATCAAGAGGGCAAATTCGACACTCAATAAATCACAATCGATTAAGAGTCAACCGTGAAATTGGAATTTTTTAGTAAGTGGGTGGTAGTGAAAAGTCGAAAAGCCCTCCATTGGAAGGCAATTGAGAGCGAAATTTGAGCGCAAAATTGAGATTTCACTAGGTCAAGATTAATTGAGATCTGCTGGTCGTGCAAACATGTTGTCGACAACCTTTCTCCCTGTCTTTCATTCACTCTGCCAAACTGAGCAAACTCAGCAACATTCCTTCTTCCATTCATTTTAGAAGCAGTAGAAGAAAATGTAGCAGGGACAAGTCTTGACAAAATGACTCCCACCAAGGATCTGCATCTATCTTCTCAAAATCTAATGACATGAGAGTAAATTTAGTTAATTAGATCTTGCTAATAAAAGAATAGTCAA